ACAGGAGGATGGCGGATAGTGCACGCATTCAACAAGTTGAATGCTGCAACGGTACCGGCTCAGACGCCGGTACCGAGGAAGGACGTAATTATAGATGGTATGTCAAAGAGTACCATCTTTTCGTCCATGGATCTGATGGATGGATTCTATCAGATCCTCATGCGTGAACGGGACATCCCGTTCACGGCAGTGAGTACCCCCAGCGGGATGCTGTGGGAGTGGCTAGTGATGCCACAGGGGCTGAGTAATGCCCCTGCAACATTCAACAGATGTGTAACAAATCTGTTGAGACCGGTGCGAGACTTCGCACCGAGTTACTTCGACGATGCGTTCGTCCATAACCGGGCTATGGACGGAAAGACGGACGTTGAAGTTCACAGAACTCACGTCCGTAAGGTTCTTCAACTTATGCGCAAGTATAAGTTGCACGCCAACCTCAAGAAGTGTATATTTGCGGCTAGCGAAATACCACTTCTTGGGTGCATCGTGGGTAAACACGGCGTACGCCCTGATCCCGAAAAGATCAAGTCGATCACCGACTGGCCAGTGCCAGTCGATGTCAAGGGACTTCGTAAGTTCCTTGGCTGAGGGGCCTACTTGCACAAGTACTCGCGCAACTACGCCGAGATGACTGTTCATCTTTCTGTTCTGCTCAAGAAAAATGTCAAATCGTCATGGAACGCTGAGTGCCAGCGTTCCTTTGAAGGTATTAAGCAAAGCTTGATGCAATCGCCGATCTTGGCGATCGCAGATCAGGACAGACCATTTCATGTCGTCTGTGACGCCAGCGATTTAGCAATCGGCTGTGCGTTAATGCAGTTCGATGCAGACGGCGCGGAGCGCGTCATCTGTTATCAGTCGCGTCAGCTGCAAGCAGCTGAGCGTAATTACCCAGTGCATGACAAGAAACTCCTTGCCATGAAGTACGCACTGGCTAAGTTTCGCGTCTATCTCTTGGGAGATAGACCGTTTGTTGTCTACACGGACCATGCGTCATTACGCACGGCCGTAAACATCCCACACCTCTCGCAGAGGACGGCGAGGTGGCTGTCTTTCTTCGCGGAGTACAGCTTCTCCGTCGAGTATAAAACAGGACGACTTAATGTCGTCGCTGATGCGCTCTCGCGCCGGCCCGATTTCGAGCCGGACGTACAAATCAACAGTGAGGATAAGCCCACTGTTGCGACACTGTCAGTCAGTGTCCCGTCGTCAAGTTTACTTGACGACGTACGAAAGGCATATGCGGAAGATAAGGATCTTCTGCGATTGATGGATCATCTGGTGAATCCATCCAGTAAATCCATGAGGGATTTACCGGCTTTGTACCGATCCGATGAGGATCGGTATGGTACACGCAACGGATTTCTGTACTATACAGCTGATGCCGACGACATGCCTCGTGTCGTCGTACCCACTCATCATGATTTGCGTTTGCGCATCATGTATGAGTGTCACGATGCCCCAACAGGCGGCCATCGTGGTAGATAAAAGCCTTACCTCACGGTAAGTCGTGACTTTTACTGGCCACGCCAGTATCAGTTTTTCCGCAAGTACATACGTGCTTTCGAGGTTTGTCAACGGGTGAAGCCTAGTCCTTCATTTCGTGCGCCATTGCAGCCTCTGCCTGTTCCGACAGAGTGCTGGTAGTCCGTATCAATAGACTTAGTCTTCGGTTTTCCCGCAGACGCTCACAAGAATAATGGTATTCTTGTGTTTGTTGATCGGTTCAGCAAGATGGTGCATCTTGCTGCAGTGCCCGAGTCGATCAAGGCTCAAGGTTGTGACCGTGTCTTTCTCGACACGATCTTCTGACTCCACGGGTTGCCCCGTGAACTCGTATCCGACCGTGCCTCTCGGTTCACGGCGGCATTTTGGCAAACCGTGTTCCGTTCTCTTGGAACACGATTGAAGATGTCTACTTCTGACCATCCAGAAACAGATGGTCAGACGGAACGTGCGAACCGTGTCCTCGAAGAGATTCTTCGAGGATATGTCCACTCGTTTCCGAGTTGGAGCGAATTCCTACCCATGGTGGAATTCGCCATCAATAATTCGGTGCATGCTTCCATACAGCACACACCGTTTTACGTGAATGGCCTACGCCATCCACGAGTGCCCATCCTTATAGAGTGTGTCTCTTGGATAAGGGGGGAGGGACTCGCTCGAGCAAAAACCGTTTTGGCTCTTGCTCATCACGTGTCGACGCTAACGTCGTCACGTATGATGCCGATGTCGATCAAGTCGACATCGATGAAGAAGATCAGCTCAATAATAGCGATGACGCTATTACTGACTCGGATGATGATGACGATGCTGGTATACTCAGCATCGTCAACGATTATGCCAGCGAGGAAGAAGACAACCTCGCTGAAGAAGAGAGCAATCTCTTAGCAGTGCGCACGAAGCGCACTGAAAGACAAAACAAAGAGTCAGCAGAGAACTTCCGGCTGACTCGAGAAGCGGTAGTCCGTTTCGTTCAGGATTCCATCGCAAATGCGGTGGACCGACAGAAACGAAACGCAGACAAGAATGGAAGAGCGAATGTTCTTTAATTTATGGTTAACGACCTAGTACTACTGTCTACGGTAAACTTACCTAGACATGTAATCACCAATGTCGGCAGTAGTAACCTACTGCCAAAATACATTGGTCTTTTTCGTGTGTTGCACCGCAAGAGCAATGCATACACACTCGAATTGCCACGTAGGATGCGCACGCATCCTACGTTTTACGTGGGGCCACTCAGACCGTACTGTCGGTACGAGCCTTCTTCTTCCGATGAAGATAGCCCCCACGCTCAAGAACATCCATCAGGTTCTTGCGTTCGCGCTCCAGACGATCCTTCTGGTCGCGCAGATATGATACCTCGGAACTCAACCGAGATATCTCCTCGCGAGATGTCGCCAGCTCGCCGAATAGGGAGCGGACATCCCGCTCGACCTGAAGCTGCGCTGTGGCATAATCAGCGCGATCCCTCGCCCGATCAGCCTCGTGATATTTGCGGTTCTTCCGCACGGTATCAGTCAAAGCGTAGCGCCGGTCGCGCTCGTGCTTCAAGTCATCGTGCAATTCATCGATTGCGCGACCCATCTCGTAAGGGTCGAGATGGTGAACCGAATCATCTGGAGGATGTCTTCCCTCCTCCACCACATCCTTTGGTGGATGCTCACGGTGATCAACGCTTTCTAGTGGAGCGTATCTTGGACCACCGTGACGATTCAGGATCAAGGACGAGCTACCTCGTCGAGTGGCGGGGGTATCCACCCTCTTGGAACAGCTGGGAGCCCCGCTCTCAGCTGTTGATGGATGTTGAAGGTCTCGTCCGCCAGTATGACGAGACCCATCCGATGAGTCTTGTGGCCCATCGGTGAACACGCGCCCTAGGCGCTTGTAGACGGATTGCAAGTTTGCAATCGCGTCACGCATCTCAGCCGAGATGTGTGCCCTTCCCCAGGGCAAACTTAGGGAATACACATCCCTATGTGCACGCTGCGAGTTGTCAACACAACTCGCACAAGGGTCTCCCCATGTGAGGCAAGGAATGCCTGCCTCACTCGATAAACAATGCAACCGGTACCTAGCACCGGTTGGCGTTCGCCTTTCGAACATGAGGCGTGTCGCCTCAAGTTTCTTAAGCCACCCTTCTCGTCCAAAATTCTTTACGTTTTGAAGAACGCGTTCCACGCAACCAAAAGCGAGGCTTTGTCACGCTTTTGGTTGCCGTTGTACCATCGATGTCAAAGAAAGACATCGAGATAAAAATCTTCCTCATCGCGAAAGTTCTTCGCGCTGGAACTCAAGCCGTTAAGCTCAGTTGCATCGAATAAGGGTATTCGATGGTGTTGGCCTGTCTCGTGAGACAAGCTATTGATGAGCCGTTCGGGCAAACGCCACGGCTTCGACTCATCACGCTTCACAGTGGTACCCTTGTTGGTACCACGGCTCCCAGATTGACGACGGCTCACGCCATCGTCATCACGCTCGTGCGAAGACGCACGAGCCGGTGGTGGTAAGGAATAAAATTCCTCACCGCCCTGATCATCGTCATCATTGCCGAACAGACTGTGATGCAAATCACGAGTCCGTTCGTTCGGCAGTGACCTTGGCAAACACTGAGGCGTCGCCGGTGAGCGAGACGCCTCTGGCGCATTGCCCGAGTCAGACACGTCTGACTCGCCAGAGTAGATGACCTCTATGTCAGGGTCATCATGCGCACGCGGTGAGGTGCCGCGTGCACCTGCAGCGCCTGTTGCTGCAGGCGAAGAAGGAGCAGCAGACGACGAATCGTCTGCCGCAGAGGCTGGCACAGCACCAGTCTGTGTAGGTCTTGAGTCACCTCGCATAGACATGTTAACTATGCGAGGTCAAGCGGAAAGTGAATGAAACGGACCCAACAAGTGCTCCCTGTCCCAATGGTGGCCAACGCGTGGCCGCCATATTTTCGATAGTCACACGGTGACTATCAGTTAAGGGGGGTGATGTAACGGGGCAGCCCGTTACATGGAATTGTCACTTTAAGGAAAGTGACAATAAAGAATATAAAGATGGATATTCTTTAAACAATATCACCAAAGTGGTGATATTGAAGGGTCGACCAAAGGGTCTGTTCATTGGTTGATATCTTGATGATATCAACCCACCAATCGCCGCAAGACGCGCGCAATGAGTGGTGACGAGACGTCACCATACATCCAGCTATATTTGTATAGTTGAACTAGGTCAAACGAAGAGACTGTAGTTTAAAGACTTAATTATATTAATATAACAGTTCTGCTTTTACCGTACCTACGCTTCCTCGCTTGCCACGTGTACGTCCGTCGGGGCACCCAAAACCCTTGCGTCAAGTTACGCAAGTGTGTGCCCCGTTACAAAGCATGTGTATCAGCATTAGCGAGTCCACTACTCCTGCGCAAGCGAATACACAAATGCCAACATCTTGTCAAAAATGGTCATTATGAATTAAATGTACTTGCCAAAAGGAACCCGTCTTCAGAGAACGACTACTTCGTGGCCTTAGAGTCCTTGGTGCCAGTTAGTTCCGACTGCATGGGGCTGTCGTCCAAGTCAGCCTCGCTAAAAACAGGCTCGTTCTCAACGGCCGGGCTCGTGCCCTTCTTGCCGCCCGCCATCAAAGGGACTGACTCTCCTTCATCGCCAACAAGGCCGTCCGTGCCTTCGTCAAATAGCCCAGCAAGCGAGCCGCCTTCAGCACCCGCCTTCGTTGACTTGGATGCCTTCGTAGACTTGTCCCCGCCCTTCGCACCGATTGGGTCGACTTCCTCGTCTTCTTCCTCGTCGTCCAATGATAGAGCTCCCTTGGCACCACCCTTCGCACCAAGAGGGTCACCTGCACCACCCTTTGCACCGATTGGGTCAACTTCCTCTTCTTCTTCCTCGTCCTCCAATGATAGAGCTCCCTTGGCACCACCCTTCGCACCAAGAGGGTCACCTGCACCACCCTTCGCACCGATTGGGTCAACTTCCTCTTCTTCTTCCTCGTCCTCCAATGATAGAGCTCCCTTGGCACCACCCTTCGCACCAAGAGGGTCACCTGCACCACCCTTTGCACCGATTGGGTCAACTTCCTCTTCTTCTTCCTCGTCCTCCAATGATAGAGCTCCCTTGGCACCACCCTTCGCACCAAGAGGGTCACCTGCACCACCCTTTGCACCGATTGGGTCAACTTCCTCTTCTTCTTCCTCGTCCTCCAATGATAGGGCTCCCTTAGCACCACCCTTTGCACCGATTGGGTCAACTTCCTCTTCTTCTTCCTCGTCCTCCAATGATAGAGCTCCCTTGGCACCACCCTTCGCACCAAGCGGATCACCTGCACCACCCTTTGCACCGATTGGGTCAACTTCCTCTTCTTCTTCCTCGTCCTCCAATGATAAAGCTCCCTTGGCACCACCCTTCGCACCAAGCGGATCACCTGCACCACCCTTCGCACCAAGATGGTCCCCCTCTCCAGATCCATCACTAAGCAACTGCTGCAAAAATTTCTCAATCTCGGCGTCCGACATACTGCCCTTCGTACCGGCAGGGTCCTCGTTTCCAGATTCTTCACTCGACAGCCACGAAAGATCTTCTGCACTTCCATCGTTCGCACCCTTCCCGGCGATAGGGTCCTTATCTCCAGCGGTCCGAAGCCATGCATACGATGGAGTTTTTAATTCGGCAGACACAACGTCGAGTATGTCGGCTTGGCCACTTCCACTGCCGATCAGGTCCATGATGTTGATTTTTATGTCGTCACTGCCAGCCGGGCCCTTGACCGTCACCATGAGGGCATCCTTCTTCTTCGCGGGTTCGTCATTCAGGCCGGCGTCCGTTTCGTCCTCCAACAAACCCTTACTCGCAAGTTCATCCTCCTTGTTGGCGCGAAGATTTTGCAAATGGCCAGCGTGAGCGGCAGTCACGGCAAGGGCAGCCAGGACTAACCCAACAGCGTACTTCATCTTCGTCTTCGTTCGGTAACTTGCTTGTGGACGTCTGCGGAAGGAGGCGAACTAACGAATGAGGAGCAGGAGAGGAGCAGGAGAGGAGCAGGAGAGAAGCAGGCGCAGAGGCCCACGGACGGTCGCACCTTCTAGCCTTCCATCCGGACTCTGCCCCATCCCAAGAACGACACTCTAAGACAGTATGCGCCATACAAATGAAACATGTGCTCGAAGCTCGCAACGTTGCGACCGCGCGACACGTTGTTGGACTCAAGGGGTTCTATGTCCGGTAGAAGCGTCCTACGTCACGCCATCTGGACGACGAAAGGATCATGGCGACGGCTTTGCACGTGCTTAGGGTGACTATCACCTAATTTTGGTGCCACAATCGCTCCCGAGCAAAAAAGTGGTACAGCCATGCGAGCGCTTTTGTGGCCACTCGACACACGCGAAAGGACCGATCACATGGACAGGCAACAGCGTGAGACCGTTTGGTTCGTGGGCCAGTGTAGACCCTGCAAAAGAGCATAGCGTAACGGCGTGAGCGGTTCTTTACACACTACGTGTGCAATCGTGAGCTGCTCGACGATCTCCACGAGCCGTTTTGTTGCCTATAAACCATTGCAAATGCCTTCCTATGTTTCTACGAAGAGCATTCAGGAAGAAACGCGGCCACGGACAGACAGGTGGGCACTCCAGTGTCCGGGTCGCCCGAGGCTTCCGGAGCAACAAGAGTCTGCCAGGCGATAACAGCAGCGATAGGAGACCGCTGGCTTCTTCGTCTGGTCGTCTCCAAGCCTTTTTTCAGTCTCTTCGGCTGGTTCTGTTCGCGAACACACAGCGCTCGCTGCGTCGTTCCAGCTCACCAGAGCCTCGAGGACGCGATTTACCACTGCCGTCGTCTCGCGTTGCCTCGTGTGCATTCTCTACCGCAGCTTTGCCGCGTGCAAAAATTTCGCTTCGTCGCCGTTGATCGCGTCGGCGCAGGTCTCCGATCAAAGTCGTCGCGTCGCTTCAGTCGCTTCGTGTCATTGGCCGCACGCATCAATCCGTCCGTCATTGGTCGCTGAGGACAGCGCTCCCGCTGCTCAAGTCTTGTCGAGAGGAGGAACGTCCGCTGTCAGTGCCACGACATGTCGCTGTCAGAGGACCGGCTGCTTCATCATAGCATTCCTACTTCGCTCCTGAGCGTCGTGCGCATGGGAAGTGCTCCTGACCGTCGTGCGGGGTCGATGGCGTCACCTCCGTCCCGTGTTATCGTGCGTCACTCACACGGCTGAGCCTGCAAGTGAGACCTGACGAGACACGCGTCGTCACTGAAGGCAGGACGGTCGTTCGACTCGAGCGGCGGGTTTTCCTCGGACGTCGATCCGTCTGTCCCGACAGCCATACCGTCTCACACAGCATCTGCTGGCTCTAGGTGAGCTCCTGTACGTATCGAACTTCGTTTCCTCTCTGCATCAGCAACCCCTCGCCCTCGCCCCGACCTCGATCGACGGACCCTTTGACCCTTTGCTTCGAGTGCTACTCGGATCAAGGCGTCGCTGTAGCATCTTCCATGTTGTTTCCCCTCCGCAGGCCTTGCTGACTCCAGTCAGACCATACCAGTCGACTCTGCATCGTTTGATGGCTGGCCTCACCTTCGCCTGTGGCAGCATTCGAGCTCCTGATGGGAAACTGTCGTCGGCTCACAGTGACAGATCGTACGTCGAGCAACTCGTGCCAAGTGAACGCAACCTAGTCGGGGGGGGGGGGCGGCGCACACAAGTACGTGTGAATATCCCAATTGTTGGGCTTCAGTTGACTCAGCAACACACTTTTCATAGCGTTCGGCCTCCTTGTCGCACAGCCTTTCGGCCTCTGTGTTGCGTGACCTGCTCGATGTCGCTCGCTCGCTACCTGAGTCGGAAGTTGGACAACACGCGATGGCTCTCGTCCAGATGCTGCGATCGAGTATGCAGCAGGACCAGCCTCGTTGCAAGACGTGTAGCTCCTGACGTACCGCTCGTTGCGTGGGCGATAGAAGAGGATGCGCTCTTTCTGCGTTGCCGGTGGCTCAAGTGCTGCTTGTGATGCAAACTGATGGTGCCGCACGTGCAGATGTGTTGACGAGCACTGGTAAACAAACAGCTCAATGTACATCCAGAGAGACACAAACGTGTCACAAGTGATGTGACGAGCAAAGACTTTGCTTACAGTCACGTCTCAGAATGAACGTCTCACAGGCTTTGTTCGACACAAGCGTTGATTTCCCGTCATTGTCTACGTCAGGTCACCAAAGCTGAGCCTTGACACATTCCTGATGCGCTGGCAAAGTCTTTAGTATGGATTTTGTCAAGCACGCGTGCTACTTTCACTGTGTGCTACGCCAACATCTCCAGGCAACGAATATGAGTGCGTAGTCGTTGTCAACGACAGTATTAGATCGGCCGAGCAGTGCAACTCTGCAAGGCCTAATGTTGAGTGCGGGGTTCTGTATGGAATATCAGCACGAATCAGCTCGAGTCACGAGCAACTTTGGCTGCGAGCTTGCTGACCCATCGACATTCAGGGGAGACCACCGAGAATAAGCAATTGGTTGTCGGCCAGAATTCGTCCTACCACCGTAACGATTTGTCGACCATTTTGGCAACATGTGCTACCTTTTTGTTCTCTGGGTTCGGCACAGTCATCCAGCTTATCTTGTGACGACCAGCCACCGTCCTCTTCGCTTTTTTCAGCGTAGACCTACACGTCACACGCTGTTTGGATAGCTACATGTGGGCGAGTGCTAGCGGGTGCGTAGTTGAACGTGCCACGCGACAGGCGTTTAAGTTACTCAGTATGTGTGTGCCATGCAGACTCGGCTTTTACTCTTACACATGCATGCTTTTCCACAGCGGGGGATCGTGCACTATGGAAGGTGTCGTGGTTCGTCACGTGCTTTTTGCCGAGAGGTCGTATGCTCAGAACAGAAGTTCCCGGTATTACTATAGAGCGATACGTATCGTGTATTGTCCACAGACCTTGTTTTAGTCTTAGGTAAAGATCGAATCAATAGCCGCTGGTCTGGAACGATTGGTTCCTAGCAAATGCATCGGGGGAAACCCAAATGTAGCGCCTATTCAAGACATGACGGATGCTAAACTACTATGACTGTAGCGAAAATGATCGAGACCAGGCAGGAGGAGGTTCAGAATTCGTGATAGGCTCAGCCTTGCAGTTTTTACCGGTTTGAGTATCATTTAACTCTGACGTTCGATTTGAGAGTGTGTCGACTGTTTTGAACGCAAGTCAATTGTGCCCCAAAGCTCGCGAATTGTTTAACGTTCACAGTGTTGTGTATCGAGCTGTCATGGAAGAAGCAATAAACCAATGACACTATTCTAAATAAGCCGTGATGGTGAAGATAGTTGATCCGGCGCACACTCCGCTTGTACTGACACACTACAAGCACTTTACACTATAACAGTAAAGGCAAGTGCCTCGATTCCTCACGCACAGTAGACGTGCAGAGGAACGTGAGTCTACTCAACAAACACGTTTAGAAGAAGGGAAAAGCAGAACTGAATTTGGTGCAGTGTAAAATTCCCTAAATAAACCTATTTGATCTTGTCTTGACCATATTTGTAAGGGGGGGTTCGTCGGTTGGTTGCCGACATCACATGTGTGGTTTATACCAGGAATGAGATCCCATTAAAATGATACGCGAACACCGTATCAGTTGCGGGGGCTGACACGCCCAGCCCACAAATACGAGATCTTTTAAAGGGTATTAATTGAAGCATTAGTTTCAAGATTAAATATGTTTAGTCTGATGTGTTCTTTTCGAAAAAAAAATAACGTTCAGCTCCCCTTTTGATCAAATAGATACACGTACCTTCTTAAAGCGTCTCAGGTCATCAGAGAGTCAATTCTTGTTGAGACACAGACTCGCTAGCACACTATGCAGTCGATTGACTAAATCGTTTAGGTCCCTTGATCAAGGACCTGGAGCTGTAATCTCGTTGACTCAAAGAGTCTAGTTCTTGTAAAAAAACTACCTTGTTCGCAAAGCAGGTAGACTTACTCTAACTAGGAGATGTACCAGCTCCGCTACACTTGGTAGCACTTGTATTCAATCCACGCCTGAGTCTGTAACGACAGGTTCTCCTTCAAAATGGAAAAATACACTCGTCTCTTCGAACCCCGAAAGGTTGCGCTTGTAAAGTTGACCACGGCTCTGGTCCCAGAGTATGTGGAGCTCCTTGTATCACATGACCTGGACGTAACTAAGCACGTCTCGAGAGCTTTAAGAAGTACGAGACGACCCTTATAGGGCAGGTTCAAGTTCAAATGGATAAAGTTATGCCCACACGCTTTGTGTCTGTGTCAGACGATTAGGCTATGCGTCAGCCAGTCAAGTTGGTCATTAAACCCTACTCCAATAAACAAAAAGAGGTTCATATCCTCTAGATCCGTGAGGTAGAGATATCCCATAGGTCGGGTATGGTACAAACCAAATATTATAAGGTCGCGGTGGCGATCACCGAGCTCGCTGTTAGAGCGAGGGAGTGGGCACTTACGTGCAGTGCGTCCATCGATGAAGCCTTACCCACATGGAAAAGCTATACTTTTTCATTAATACCGCAATTTTTGTACCGCCTAACCGGCATATCACGTGCGATCACGGATCCTATCTGCACGTCAGGTAAACATGAGTTGTCGGACTATGTCCATGATTTGGGAGCACTTATAGCTGCATTTCAGAACGACTTATTATTAAAGATATACCATGTGACGGAGATCATAAAATCTCTCTGTCATGGACCCTGTAGACCTGAAGTCTTCCTTGTCCACCTCACTACCTTTAACGAGGCTGTCGTAATAGCGCACAATGCGGACTACAACTTTAAGCTTGCTAAGCTTGGTTGGACTGGGTACAACCCGAGCTCTATCCTGGCGAGCTCTTTAAGTACTCAAGTGTCCTGTAGACCTGAACCCGTGGATCTCAGTAATGCTGAGGGTGACAGTGAAGATACATTTTTAATCGCTGAACA